TACTGGCTACCATTTAATCTCTTTTAATAAATCACAGTCATCCTTTTGATGTACAAGCTGTACAATCATGGAGAAATGTCTGCCGGGTTCTTCAATGTGCAGTCGCCTGCCCCGCCATAGAATGGCTTCAGGCTGCTGCGCTTTTTCACGTCTCATATATTTTTTTTAAATAGTTTATCTCTCTCCTCCCTTGTTGTCGAGCTGTCAGTCAGCTGTCACTTTTTACTGCTGTCAGTGAGCCTGCCTTTATCGCACCCCCAATTTGATGCTGCTAATCTGCTGTCAGCTGAGAAATCAGATAATCAAGACCTCGGAAATTGCATTCATAATAAGTGGTGGGCTGAGCATGGGATGGAGATTGTGAGATATAAGTTCCAGTTCTTGCTCTGTCTCTATCTAGCTGTGTGGTTACCAGGAGACACTTAACATCTCTGGTGCTTCTATCCATAAAATAAGGAGCAGAATCTGTGTGTGTGTTGGGGGGGTGGGGGCTCAGAGAGGGAGACAAAGAGAAAGGAAAGGAGAGTGATATCATTTAGACTTGGAGCCTCACTTTCTCTGGCTGTCAGAAAGAACATAATGAAACTTTTCTGTGAGTTAACAGAAGGATAAGGGTACCACTGACCTTTTAATTGTCAAACTCAAGGATACATTTTAGTCATCACTTTATTTAACCTTAATCCTCTGAATTCAGTACTGACCATCTCCTTAAAGTCCTCTTCCCTTTGCTCCAGAGGATAATTCTTTCAATATTGACCTTCTGACTTTTTTTTTTTCCTCCTCTCTTCAATCCTGGGCTCTTCTTCACCAGCCCCTTAAGAGTTAAGAGTGCCAACAGCCAGTCTGAAGTTCAAAGCCAGGGTAATGATGAGAAACCAGCAAGAAGCCTGAGAAGTAGCAACCTGTGTGTCCTCGCAGTCAACTGAAGAATGTGTCATAGTGCATCACATAATGCTGATATGTCAAGTAAGATGAGCACTGAGAATTGACCATGGGATTTAGGGAGGTATGGAAGTTATCGGTAACCTCAACAAAAGCAATTTCAGTTGAGTAGCTATAAGAAAGAACAGTAGGAATAAAATTGGAAGCAAGTATAAACAACTCTTTCAGGAGGTTTTACTACTAACAGAAAGAAAGAAAACAGGCAGTTGCTGAAGGGAGAAGTGGAATCAAGAAAGAACTTTTTTTTTTTTTTTTAAAAAGATGTAAAACTAATAGCATTTGTCTTATGCTAATAGTAATGATCCCGAAGACAGGAGAACTGATGATGCAGAACAAAGAAGGACACATTGCTAGGGCAGTAGTCTTAGGTATGGAAGAAGGATGAGCTCTGGCAAAAAAGTGGGGGCAAAACCTTACACAGAAGCAAAGTCAGTTCATCCATATTAACAGGTGTGAAGTGGGGCACCTGGGTGGCTCAGTCAGTTAAGCGTCCAACTTCAGCTCAGGTCATGGTCTCACAATTCATGTGTTCAAGACCCACATCGGGCTCTGTGCTGATGGCTTAGAGTCTGGAACCTGCTTTGGTTTCGGTCTCGCTCTGTTTTGTGTGTGTGTGTGTGTTTCTTTGTGTTGTTGTGTGTGTGTGTGCGCACGTGTGTGTGGTGTGTGTGTCTCCCTCTTATTCTGCCCCTCCTTTACTCGCACTCTGTCTCTCTCTTTCAAAAGTAAATAATCATTAAAAAAATAAAAACAAACAACAACAACAGGTGCAAAGAAGGAGAATATGCACCCAGAAGCACAGGGATGGGCAGACACGGTGGTGGCAGCAAAGAGAAATTCTCTGCCGATTGCTTCTATTTTCACCTCTGTTGTGATCTGAGAATGAAGATAGGATGTTTTGGTATCTGCAGTTTACAAAAAAGAAACATGCATGATTAGTTATCTATAGGATGAGAAATGTAGTCTGCTTGCCAGGCAGTTCACAGGGACCATATGAACTGAGAGTAGACTAATAAGTATAGCTGGATGTTCTTCTAATCAAATTAAAGGAAAAGTACAAAAAAATTGAGAGTATATGTGAGATAGCAGGTACCACGATCAAATATGGAGGTTAAGTTCAAGAAAGAAGAAGGAAAACTGGGACAAGAAAAGCCTCTCAAAGTAAGGAACTGGCCCCGTCGACGGATGGTAGGATCTTATGAGGCCCAAAGACTGGGTCAGGATGATGAAGAGAATAATAAATGAACCTCTCTATTTATATTAGACTGCTCCTTTGGCAGAGTTCTCTATTTTCATACACTGATTAAGAGAGGACAAAGAGGAAATCAGTCCTTTATATTCAGGTGGCAATAAATGTGCTACATTACATAACAATGGGAGTGGGTTAATTAAGAAGATGAATTAGTCTTTCCGGGGTTTGGGGGGGGGGGGCTATTACATACCAGGCGCTATGCTAGGCCTTTCACATATGCATTATTTCCTTTAGTCACTACACAATGCCCGTGAGGTGATGAGGTCAATGTAATCATAATCATTAAAGAACCTAAGCTCAGGGTCATTATACTTGCACAGGTTGCAGAGCTAGTAAGTGGCAGTCAAGACCCAAACACATGTATGTGTGTGTGTGTGTGTGTGTGTGTGTGTGTGTGTGTGTATGTATGCATGCCTACCGTATATAAGAGCTTACCCATCCCCAAATACTTAACACATATAATGACAGTTTCAAATGATAATCCTTGCTACTATTTTTCTGATCTTCGAGAATGAGGCAGTGAGGGGTGAGAAGGGCAATAGGTAAGAGCCACTGCGACAAAGCCCAATCCTACTGATGTCCTATGTGACCGACAGGCTCTGAATTGTTACTGTTATCAACTTTATAAACCCTCATATTTTTTGCTGAAAATCGGCTCTTCCTTTTCTCTGATTAATATCCATTATAGTATACACTCCCATAGCACACTGTATTAATAATTTAATTGTATCTTCTACTTTGTTTTTACTTAAATTTATTTTGCCATGACAAATAATGTTTGTATAGGGAGAAAGATAAGAGCATTCAAAAGTTGTTATTTTTTTTCATCATCTTGGTTATGTTGCCTTTGGAATTACTAAATATTTTTCAACATCTCAACAAAATAATGTTCTTTTAAGACTGCAGGCATTAGAATGATTGTCATTCATGCAAATAATCACTTACTTACACTATATGAGTTTGGGTTGGATAAAGCAAATTACCATTTGAAAATAATTCAAATAACACTCTGGGCTAAGACCTTGCTTATGAATGTTATCTTGGCCACAATATTTCTTAACCTTCTTCCATTTAGCTAGATTTATTTATGGTAATATAGTCCAAATTAATAAACTATTCAATTGCCACAGGTGTATTAAGCACATGATGTTGTAGGAATATATCAGATGCAAATGAATTTTAAAACATATTATTTATTTGGAATTCTATAGTGGTAATAATTAAGATGTAGTATAATCACCTACTCACCTAAGATATACATTTTGAGTGTATATTATATGCAAAGCTTAAAAACATGTCAAAAAATAATGTTCATATTTTAAAAGTGTGCACTAAAATAGAAACTGTGTTTTAGCTCATCATAGATCTAAAGTATAACAATTATATTTTCCAAAAGTTGAAAGTCTCTCATACAGCATATTGTATATATAAATATACAAATACAACAACTATATATACATAAGCATATTTATACATACACATATGTAACTGAAAATCAAATGTGATCTTAGTTTCACTTAACTTGGTAGTTGTCAACACTGCAAATAAATGATCAAATGTTCTTGACAAATAACCTTTGGTGACAGGAAGCTTGACCAGTAAACAGAAAGTTGAATCAAAAGTCATAGGGTCTAAACCTGACTCCAGTCTGTGACAATAATCAGTAGTGTGAGTGCAAGCCGGTCTCCTGCTTCTCTGGGTCTCTGTTTTCTGAACTCCATAAAGTAAAAACTGGGTAAGGTTGTATAACTTAAGTTTATGACTCACTAACTTGATTTTGTATTAGGCAGATTCTTCTTCAATGAAATATTAACTTCAAATAAATCAGCATTAATGGTGCTGCTGAAGACTACTGATACCACAGCTGAATCTGGGAGAACCCAGAATCGGTGGGGGGGGGGGAACCCAGAATATAGAGAGTAATGCCAACCTCCTGCATAACATGCACAGACATTAAATTGTTTCCTGATTTCCTTTCAGGCATGGGGAGCAAACAGCTGTCCCTGAACTCTTTTTAAGGACATTGGCAGTTATGAACAGCAGCATCCCCAGCTAGTACGAGTCCCACTGAAGTAAACTTTCTGTTAACATGGGAGAAATATTCCTAGTGGTAATAAAAACCGTTTTGCTAGGTTTAATCAGAAGTGAAGAGGAATTTGAGAATGTTCCCTTTGTGCCACATCATCCACTGTTAATTCAGGGTGGGCCTAGCAACAGGGGTAGTAAAAACTGTCCTTAGCAACAGAGAAAGAGAAATGGCAATTAAGTGTATTTGCAACCTAATATAGAAGACCTAACTCTTTATTAAGATAATATAAATAATAAAAAATGGAAAAAGGAAAAAAAAAATAGAAGAAAATAGCCTGGGAAATGAAAGTGACCCAAGCAGTGCAATTTAACACAGATTTACTTACAACAGTTTGCTATATACATATAATAAGCCCATGGGCATAAACTGAATGCAAAGGTTGAGAAATATGCTTAACAATGAATGACTTCTGTAACAAAACAACAAAGGAAGAAACAAAACAGTAAGTGTTAAAAAGCCAAAGCAGCTTGCTTTGGGAAACCAATAAATAACAGAAAAGAAAGGACAAACTCAATATCAGAACTAACCATTCAGTGATAGGTTGGACACATGATTATTTAAAATGTTTGTAAATCACAGCATGGTGAAATAGAACTTGATTCTCCAATTAACCATGCTTACGCTGAAAAGTTAAAATTGGCAAGAACACCACCAATTTCTATACATTTGGGGAATAATTTATGATTCAATATTGAAAACAGAGTCAAACATACTGACCTGCTCACATCAGGAAACCTGATGGGAAAGTAAATAACTTGGCATTTGGGTCTGATGATGCTGTCCAGATCCTTGGGTCTGTGATCAGGAATCAGCTTCATAAATTTTCCAATAGAGGTGAGAAATGACTCCATGTTAAAAACAGAGTTGAATACCACCACATCAGCCACCAGGCTATAAAGGAAAGGGATAAATGCAAATGACGAACCCACACTCATCCACAGCTATTTTTTTATAAGCCTAAGACCTTTTTGTTCATCAGAGTTTATACTGTCCTTGGGCTTGCAAAGAACTCGGCACTTTCCATAGCATTTACTAAAATGCCTCTAATAGATAAGTTAGTTTCTGTAGCATTGTATCATGGTAGTTAGATCTCTGGCATCAGGAAAGAAAGGCAGGAGAGGAATCAAGTAATTTACTGGGATCTTATGAGGCCTCAAACAAAGTTTAATTTTCTGCAATGCCAGGACTTTTATATTATCAACAGTAAGTACCAAGACCTTTTCATTTGTGGCCCAAATACTCACATTGGGATTCTACATCAGTGATATACATCATCTTATACCATACAACACACAGGAGAACATCTCCCATAGCTTTCACTACCTTTGAGGAGATGAGTTCAGATAAAGCTATTTCCCATGAGAGCATACCTTCATACAAGTGGTTCAAGTCTATTTTAGGTTTAACTCTTGCTTCAAGAAACCATTATGCTTTTGAAAGTTCTAGAACTGTACAAGAAGACTTATATGGGATATCTCTACAAATAACTTACTTCACTATTATATTATATTTGGGGTGGCCAAAGAAGAAGGAACGATCCCATGGACCTTCATAAACAAATGAAATAAATATTAGTGATTACTTTTGATAGATATATTGTGTTCCTCCCTTTAAATTTTTTAAATAAAAATAATATAAAATACATTATTATAAGGAAATGTGAAAACAAATCTTAGATGTCATAAATATGTCAGCAGTCTTCAGAACATTTTCTTGAAAACTAATGGACACGAATGATAACCATGGGCAAGCCAGATAAAACCTGAATATGTGGTATGTTCCCTTTATGAGTCAAAAAACTGATTTAGTAAATAATTGTTTTTGGTTTAAGCAATGATTTTTCTTTAGGCAATGATTCAGGGTCTCATTGTCACTGGATCTCAGCACAATGCATACAAATGCTTTAGTGAGAAGGTATATAAGCTTAAACAGCAGTTAATTTTATTTCATCCTATCCTAAAAATGCCAGTCAAGAAAACTAAAAAGCCTGGAAGACTGCAAACCTAAGTCCACAAGACTGCAAGACACAAACGAATAAGCAGAGCTTCTAGAGTAGGAATACCACCGCAAGTCTTTCATTTACTGAGGACAGCCAAAGTTCCTATCATTAATACACAGCAGAAAAAAAAAAAAAAAAACCCTACAAAAGGAATGTTGAACTGACACCTTTGTGCCTCCCCTGCAAAACTGCTTTTCCATACAAGTATTGTTTTTTTTTTAAGTTGCAACCTAGTGGAAATTTGGAGGTAAGGGTGATAACAGCACCAATAATACAAAAGAATGTCAAAGAAGTGCTGACGCAACCCCAAGCAACAAGGCAGTCAATATAATAATACACCAAAAGTTGAAGGATGTTTTACAGCTAGTCTGTTTTCACCATATGTCACATATTGTAATAGCGACCCACAGGTCATAATATACTGTTATGACATGTGTTCATAAGTCAGAGGGTTAGTGAAACCTCTATTTAAGGTGAGTGCTTATGTCAGTCACCTCTAAAGTGGTCAAGAAAGAAATCGACAGTGCCAACAAAAGCAGAAGTCAGCAAGAAAACTAAAGAAACATTTGAGGAAGCAACAGTCATACTTTTCAAAGAGAATCTGAGACAGGACTGCTTCCTGACACTCTTATTTTTCCTCTGGACAACTGTGAGCCATTTTTTTCTCAGTAAGAGGCCAACCGATGATAGAGTCTACTTCTTTCTCTCTGAGCTTGTCGATCGGTTTACCCTCTTAAGAAGAGCGATGCTGGAAAACCACGTTGGAGCTTTTATAGTCTCATTCCTTTTAAGCAAAAACAATCTTTTATAAAACAGAGAGATGAGGGGCAGGAAGTTAAAAGTTTTTATAGATATCTGCCCTCCTAGGGCATGCAACCCAACGACTTACATTCTTAAAAACTCAGTGTATGCTAAATTAAGTATCCAAGATGGTCTACAGAAATATTCTTTTCATGCATTTCCTCTCTGATACGAGTGGGTGTAACTTCCATTAACTTTAAAGCCACCCATAAAGGGAAAAATAGGCTTAATTTTTTTTCCCCAGTTATTTCTCAGGGGTAATAAACACACACTATCTGAGGAAAAGAATGATGCTAATTCAAGAAATCAAAAGAATATTACAAATGTTTTCCATATTGATAAAGCACAAAATGATTTTATTTTTGTTTTTAAAACATATTTCCCTTCTCTGTTTCAATATAAAATAAAGTATTTTAATTTTATTATGAAGTTTTAAAACGGTTGCTTTTTTATGAGACATTTGACGTGAAGCAGTTCCACTCTATTTTGATAGCACTGCTACTTCACAATTGAAGCAGCTTGTAAAAATGATTGCGGGAAAACATTTACGAAATGCTCAAAACACAGAAATATTACCGCATAGTTGTTTGTCTATGTCAACTAAACTATGGAATATGTTTGTAAGAGCTGGAAGTCTGTTTAAATACATCATCAATCCCAATTGTTAATAAGTATTAAAGAAGGTAGGAGGTACCCTATCACTGCCAAACTGGTTTTATTTGATTGTTGCAGTTACGTGAATAGGATCCACAGTAGCAAAGCCATTTCAGAGTTGTTATTAACTTCTTCCATTAACTAAGCTTCAAGAGACACACTTTGTTGAAGTAACAACAGAGAAGGACCATCACCTTTGAAATGTCATGGTATTTTAAGGCTGTGCGATTTCAGAACACTCAGTGAAGGGAAGAAAAAAAAGAAACAACCACCTAAAGATTCATTTTCCATAGTTTTCTCCTACAAACAGTTAAAAAAAAAAAAAAGGACAAAAATCCCTTGCTCTATTACTTATTCCTCTATAAATTTCAATTTTGATTCCAGCTATATATATTGAAAGTGGTTGGTCAAAGAGAACGGATGAGAATTGACTAACTGCTCTTTTCTAAAAGTATCCCATCTACAACACAGGATGGAATCAAGGGATGAAGAGGGTCTCCTGTCGAAAATTTGATTCGATTTTGAAGGTTGTAAAAAATAGATAACTAGTTGAACATATATCATCAGATTGTTACATATGTGCATTTTATAAAAGGATTAGCTGCTTATATGTGTGTGTGTGTGTGTGTGTGTGTGTGTGTGTGTGTGTGTGAGTGTTTATATATATATGGCAAAGGCACAAGCAATTACTACCATGGAAGGTATGTTTACACTTACGTACCTATTTCAAGATTTTTTTTTAAAACAAGTGTACAGTAGGTCTTCAGATTTAAAAGTTAACAATCCTATAAAGAAAAACGTGGCAAAAGATTAAATATAATGATACGATCCATACCTACCATGAGAGAATTTGGTTGTATCCATATTGGAAATCCCTCTCCTGACATTTCTTGACAGGATATACCAATTGGTTCTCATGGAAGTACAGAATCTTTTTCAATTTCCCAAGGTCAGGCCGAAGGGCAGTCAGTTCAGTCAGGTTCATCACTGAGCTTGCAAAGAGGACCCTAGGAAACAAGGAAATTAAAGTTAACTATCCCATGTACACGTGAAGTGGTCATCCTTCCCCTTCCTCCTACCCCAAGAAAAACATATCCCCTATAGGGATACATCAATAGTTAAGCCTTAATACCATGTAGCAGCATTCTAAGTTTTGATCTCTTAAAAAGCAGCTGCTAAGAACTATAAAAGCCCTGAATCTCATTGGTCTTCTCAGCTCAGTTACTGAGAGATGCAAAAAAAAAAAGCCGGATGGATTTTATTGAAAAAGGCAAGAAAAGCTCTATCTGAAGGACAAATGGAACAAAGATAAGGCTGACTGGGGAATACTTTGCTTGCCAGTTTCATTACACTTTACTTCTTTATGCAACCAACTACTGAAATTCAATATACGAGCAGGAATGGCACAGGCTCATGTTAGGACATAAACCCTTTTGATTTATGCAATAGATTTATTGAGTGTGGTCTTTTTCTCTTGGCATGTTTTCTCACTGTCCTATCTGCCACGCCCCCCCCCTTTTTTTTAACTGTCCTACAATATTTGTGTTTTTTAAATATTTTATTCTCCATTACTGGACTGCTAATGGCACCAGATGTATAATCCAGTAATGTATGATCTATAAAACCTCTTATATAAAACATAAATATAAAAAAGAAGAAGAAAACTGATTCTTTATCTTTGGGGAAAAAGGAACTGAAAGCTTACCTATCATGTTTATAAATGAAAGAGTGTCCATTTGTTTATTCATTGCACAAACATTTATGAAATGCCTACTGTGTGCCAGACAGAGTCTAACCAGAAAAACCGGAGAAGATGAACCAAGACAGCCCACCAGGATAAATGCTGCCTGCAACAGTGACACAAACAAAGAATTAAGAGAAACAGACAACAAATGAGTAATAACCATCTAGGACAACCTGGAAATGTTTCACTAACGAGGTGCCTACCACATATGGACACAAATGAGGGACAAATTATAGTCCCTGAAGAACTGAGGACATTTAGATGGCACAATTTTGATGGAATGCCACCTTTATAACATAATGTAGCATCACTTGACCCTTACAGCTTTAGTTCCCATTCTAAAAAAATGAGGTTCAAGAAGGTTAAGAGTTTTGTGTTTACTGGTAGAATCACACTGGTAGAAAGTGGCAAAGCAGATTCCTGGTCCTCTAAAGCCGGAAGTACCTTTCATTATGCCATGGATATGAATTGGTTGTGGACTACTTAAACACTACCAATGATTTTTTGTGTACTTAATAAATACAAAATATCATACTTGTTATTATCATGATTACAACCACTATAAGTTTTCCCTTGCAGACAAGCCAAATGGCTAACTTCAGGTGTTTATATGATCTGTAGCACTAGCCTTTCACATAGAAAGAATGATTACATGATAAGTGTATATATCATAAAGGAATTCAAGTGTCTTCTTCATGGACTAAATATAGCATATGAAGACCAAAAAAAAAAAAAAAAAGTCTGTGATCTCTCTTTAAAGCCACATGGCTGTATTAAACCATTAATATAATGGTTTAATGCTTTGAAGTAAAAAAAAAAAATCTTACAAAGTGGATGTATTTATTTTTTTTATTTATTACCTGTATTCAACTAAAGCACATACAAAAATTGTGATTAAAAAATGCTTTATTTTGTCCAAAAATATCACCACCACCACCACCACCAAGTATAAGCCTTTCTAAAACTTGAATGGGGGCGCCTGGGTGGCTGAGTCGGTTAAGCGTCCGACTTTCGCTTAGGTCATGATCTCGCGGTTCGTGGGTTCGAGCCCCGCGTCGGGCTCTGTGCTGACTGCCAGCTCAGAGCCTGGAGCCTGTTTCAGAGTCTGTGACTCCCTCTCTCTCTGACCCTCCCCTGCTCACGCTGTCTCTCTCTCTCTTAGAAATAAATAAAACATTTTAAAAAAAAATAAATAAATAAATAAAACTTAAATGGAAAATTCTGAAATATGAAGATATTTACTTATCTACAAATCCGATCCTAAGTAGAGAGAACTTATAATATCTCAATCGATCAATATTTTCCTTAAAATGGATGGTGACTTGTGGGTCTAATTATTGAGTAATATCCCCTCCTCTCTCTCCATACAATACTACAGCAAGCAGTGACTCATTCTTAATCATAAGACCTGAACAAGTTCAATGTTTTTCACATAGAAGGCTGAAAAATTCATTAAATGCAGCCCCCACATTACTAATTAACTTCAAAAAAAAAGGTACCTTCATGGAGAAATTTGGTAGATATCAATTTACCCACATGATCAAACTTAATATGAACAGTAATAGGACAAGTGATATGTATTTCCCAATGTGATGCACTGAGAAAGATACAAATCACCAATGTAGTTTTCCTGCCAAAAATGCCTGAAGGGGAAGGGGGGAGATGGGCATGGAGGAGGGCACTTGTGGGGATGAGCACTGGGTGTTATATGGAAACCAACTTGACAATAAACTCTTAAAAAAGTAATTTAAAAAACCCCAAAATTGTCTGATCTGAATTTGGTCATGAGGAAACAATATTTTCAGACAAATAATATGCAAAATAACTGGGCTCAATCTCCAAAACTGTCAATGTCATAAAGAAAAAAAAATCTAGATTAAAGGAAAATAAAGAGACACCAAACAAAATACAATGTGTGATTCTTGACTGGATACTAGATGAGGAAAAGACAGTTATAAAGGACATTTTAAGGACAATAGGGAAACTCTGAATATGGATTCCATATAAGACTATAATTTTTAATCAATCTTAAGTTTCTTAAGTGTACTAATTTTATTATGGTCATGTAGGAGAATAACCTTATTCTTAGGAGACACATACTGAATTGTTTACATGTGAAAGGTCATGCTGTCTACAACTAATTCTTACATGGTTCAATCAAAAGGCTACTAATAACAATAATATTCATAAGTATATTTTTGCATAGGCAGATATTTTTAAATGTATAAAATGTTAACAATTGATTAATCTAAATGAATGGTATAATTCACTGATCTTGTCTTCAAAATTTCATCTAGTTATACATTCATGTAACTACAAATTTGAGGGAATATGCACTAAATGGTAGTGAGAATAAAGGAAAAATATATTTCATAAACAAAGCACTCATCATTTTTTAATTTTTAATTTTTTTAATTTTTTATTTTTAACATTTATTTATTTTTGAGAGACACAGAGAAACAGAGCATGAGCAGGGGAGGCGCAGAGAGAGAGGGAGACACAGAATCCAATGCAGGCTCCAGGCTTTGAGCTTTCAGCACAGACCCCAACATGGGACTCAAACCCACAAACCATAAGATCATGACCGACCCAAAGTTGGACAGTTAATCAACTGAGCCACCCAGGCACCCTCATCACATATGTATTTCTAATCATAATCCAACTGTTAATTTATTACATGAGAATTATGCTCAGGATGGACCATCTGCAGCAAATGTTTAGCCAAGGTGAGCCTTTCACTCTGCTCCTACCTTATGCCTCTCCTCTCTTTACCCTACTTACTAGCTAATCCACAATCAAGGAATCCAGATCTACAGTTGAGCATTCCAAATAAAGCCTCCCAAATGAAAGAACGTAATACATTCAGAAGTGAAGTGGCAGTGATTTTCAGAATATTAACCATTTGGGACTGCCCACACCAACACTTCCTTCACTTTGTTCAGTCATTTACAGGAAAATCATTTTATTTGTGTAACTAATCTTGAAATAGCCCTACTTCTAAACTGTGGAAATTACCTCTGTCAGGAAAACATTTCTTTTCACTTGTAAAATAGTAGTTAAAGTGGGCAATAAGCAATTCCTCAAATATTTAAGTTACTGACACCGAAAAAGAAGTAATGAAGAAGCTCACAAAATACAGGTAAGATTCATAGGCAATTTTTACTTCGTGCCTTCCATCAATTAAAAAATAAAGTTAATAATAATATAATGAATGGCGTCACTCAATCAGCAGCTAACCCCTAGGCTTCCAATGTTCATCTTGCCACAGGTATTATTTAAGCAATAAATCCTAACAAGGTGCACTTTATCATCCCACACTGTGTTTCCGACAGGAAAGGGCACGAGGTGACAGCAAAAACCACTAGGAACAAGATAATTCCTGACAGCTGCTGCTTGAGCACAAGTTAAATTGAACAGTTTATCTCAGCATGAAGATGTTATAAGGTTTTATGTTTAATATTTTTAAATTAACATAAAAACCAGAGAAAGCAGTTGTGCAATCTTTCACAAACATGACATACTACAATCACTGTATAAGCTGGATTAGTACTTATTACCATGCTACTACAGAATTAAGCTGTTTTTAGACCACCAAAGAGCTTTAAATTGCAACTTTTGTCTCTGTAAGAGAAACCTATATTTAAAATGTCTGCTAAATTCAAATTAACGGCTACATCGTTAGCTTATACCATCTCACCAAAAGTATAAGTAAGCTGCTATTATAATGGTCTAATCAAAATGGCTCTGTGCTGCAAGCACATTAACACCGTCCTGTGTATTTGGGATTGTATCCATACACATGTTTCAACTGCTTCCAATGCACATTATATTTACAATCTGAGTCATATTTGCTTAAGGAATCCAAAATAATTCAACTTAATGAAATTCAAGATTAGAGATTTTATTTTTTTCTGGCTCAGATTGAATAAACTGGTTATTTGTCTTTTACTGTATTCTCTTAATATGTAAAAAGAGATGCTGAAATACACCTAAGTCCTGTAGGAGTGTGACTGCTATTATCAAAATGCATACTTTTATATCTTAAATGGTATGGAAGGGCAGTCAAATGAGAAAAGAAAACGGGCCTTCCAAGATTCCAACCAAACCACCACATGCATTTTAGTAATAATACTTCATGAACTTTCTCAATCTTTCTCCAAGAAATCCTTTCAATCACCCTTCCTACCCCCAAAACCATTTAGTACATTTTTCACATAATGGGATACACAATTTAACACAATACTAGTTAGGGTTAAATTCTTA